AAAAGAAATGATGTCAGATTTTGCTTTGATGTAACGAGATGGTGGGAAAAATCTATTCAGAAACTTCTCTTTTACACTACTCTAATTAGTCAGACTCTGATTAAGATGTGCTTTCAGCCATTCCTTTGCCCTACCTGCCAAAGAAAAAGGAAATAATATCAAATATGCAGATTCAAGATTTGCTGCTCTAAATCTCATGGTCCCAATCAACTCATAAAAAGTAGACAAATGAAAATAAGGGTCTTCATGATCCAATCCAGTGAATTGATGAGCACTAATCAAGCTTAAGAAAGCTGGATTCATTTGCAATGTATGATCATCCGGAATGACAATGCTGAAAAAATGTCTTGGACCTTGCTGCATAGCACAATTTCTAAGAGTTCTTCTAGGTGGATTTGCATTTGGATTTTGATTTGGATTTGGATTTGGATTTGGATTCAGATTTGCTCCGTCTTCTGCCATATCTTCTATAATTGGGTCTAGTAAATCAAGTGTGAAAGAAGAATTAGCAGATTCTCTTGTGGCTTGTTCTTGAGTTTCCCTTCTTCTTCTACCCTGGTTCCTCCGAGCTGTTTTTTCAATCTCTGGATTAAATTCTAACTGCTTTGAAGATAGTTATCCTCTTAAACGCATAAATCAAAAGAGTAACTCAAGCAAATATTAGCACAACTAAAAACTAAATAATAATAATAATAATAATAATAATAATAATAATAATAATAATAAGAAGAAGAAGAAGAAGAAGAAGAATACTAATAATAAAAAAAAAAAAGAGGAATAAAAATAAAATACTCAATAAGCTAAACAAAGAATTCTCAAAGAACACCGTTCCCCGACAATAGACGCCAGAAATACTTGTTGAATTATTGGCAAGCGTACCAAAATTATCAATCGCAGTATAGTATTTCGATAAAATAAAAGTCGATCCCACGAGGAACAGTTTCAATTAAAATTCCCAATTATGCTTACTAAGTATATTAAACAGATTGAGTTTTGCAAATAAGAGTTGAGTTGAATTTAAATGACAAAGAACTGTAAATTGTTGAGAAAATATCAATTAAAGGTACTTAGGATTGACTTCCTTCCTTATCCCTCTTTTGTAATGGCTATGTCAATTAAGAATGTCAATTAACCTAACAATGTTGATGCCACCTACTCAAATCATCCATGTTGATTCCTCACACATGAAATTCATAAGAAAACCTAATAAATGTTGATTCCTCACACAATTAACAGATTTTCCAGCATTAGGGTTAGGGTGTTTAAGCAATTGATACATTCATTCCATTCCTGGCAATTAACGTAACAAATATTCTTACCGTGATCTAGGGTTCAAGATATATTTTCCAATCATACCTCAAACAATCAAGAATAAAGCATTCCAAAGCATAAAGGATAAGAATAACAACATCAAAGCATAGATTAATATCTCAAAATATCACCATGATACAAAAGAGTTCAAAGGAAGTGTACCGAATCCTAAGAGAATGAAGTTAGTCACTCATTTTGGCTATTACAATGCTCCAATTGATGAAGAAATGAAGAATTGATGAAGATTAGACAAAACCCTAACAGTAGTCGTGCCTCCTCTCCTCCAAGACTGCTTGTTTTTCTCAAAACACAACTTATCTTTTTATAAGAGAATTTGGGTCGGGCATCGCATCATTCATTTGCTTAAACGCTCTTCTTTCTTTCAATTTTACTCCAATTATGCTCATTACTTTTGTATCAAGGTATTCTCGAATTCATCCTATATTGGGAGAAAAATATATTAGAATTAACATAAGTTAAGTGGTTTCATAACAATTCAAGGCATAATTATATCAATTTTTTACCACTTAACAGTGTCTCAGTTAAGAAAATATATTTCTGATCCTTCTCATGTAATGATGTCAGATACAGTACAATTAAAGGATAACCTTACATTTGAAACAATGCATGTACAAATTACAAATATAAAGATTAAGCAACTGAGGGGAAGACAAATTCTACTAGTGAAGGTTGTTCGGAATGAAATTACTGGAGACACTACATGGGAATTAGAAAAGAAAATTAGAGAAAATTTCCCCTATCTATTTTAGTGAATAAAAATTTCGAGGATGAAATTTCCGTAAGTATAGGAGAAATGTAACATCTCAAAAATTTAGCATCTTCCACATACAATATATTAAATTATACTATTTGGATAATTTAAATATATTAAAAGAAATTTGTTATATTCATAAACATGAAAGAGAAGAAAAATATTAATTATTAATTTTCTTAATATATATATATATATATATATATATATATAAGATAAAGTTATCTTATCCTAAAAGATAAACCTTATCAAAATCATAATTACTGCATTTATGATTACTTAATTAAATGAAAAAAAATTGCTATAAAAAGGGACCAAGGGAGAAGATCCGTAGGAAGATAAGGGAGAAAGAAAAAGAAAGAGAAAGGGAGAAAGAGAAAGAAAGAGAGAGGGAGGAAGAGAAAGAGAGAGAAAAAAAAGAGAGAAAGGGAGAAACATAAGGAGAAAAAAGAAAGAGAAAGATAAAATCGTCTCAGTAAAATTTTGGTACATCATCTGTCGTTCTTAAGGTAGAGGAGGAGAATATTATCACTAAATCTATTTTATTTTTATTATAGTTGTGCAGTGAGGTATCCCTAACCTCATTCTATTTATTCAGTTACTTGTTTATTTATCTCTAACTACGTAAGGGTCCTACCTTATGCTTGTTTATTTTATCTCCAGTCTTGTACTGGTCTTATTTTAATTATCTCCAGTTATGTACTGGTCCTGTTTGTTTATTTTATTTTATCTTCAATCTTGTACTGATCCTATTTTAATTATCTCCAGTTATGTACTGATCTTGTTTGTTTATTTTATTTTATCTCCAACCTTGCATTGGTTCTATTTTAATTATCTTCAGTTATGTACTGGTCCTGTTTGTCTACTTTATTTTATCTCTAGTAATGCAGGTGATCCTATTTATTAATTTATAGTTATATTATTTAATTATTTTTTATAATAATATCTATTTGTGAAGATTTGATGATATTGTAGATGGAGGTTGGATCTTGGGGATTTAAATGAGTAAATATCACTGAGAGAGTGATTAAAATTGGGCTCATTTATCCCGACTAGTCACTACAAATTTAATTTAAATCTTCATAAAATATAATGTGTTGAGGAAGTTGAAACATATATATATATATATATATATATATATATAATAAGATTGTATTATTGTAAATGATAAATGTTCTCACTCCCTATTATGATCTTTTGTGCATGTTTTATTTAAATACCAACTTAAGTAGATAGAGATGTCAATTATTCCAAATGTCTTTTTCTGTAAGCATCATTGTCTTCTTTCCAGGAACTACTTGGAACACGAATGTTATTGACAACTCAGTTACTTTTAAAGGGACAAGATTATCAATATTAACATTTGCATCTGATATGGGAAATCTCATTATGTTAAGCGGACCAGTAGTAGTTAACTTTTGTATGCCTCCTATCATTTACCAAAACCCCTTAATTAGTTTGTTTCTACCAGCAATGTAGATATTTGTAAAATTGTAGTAGGAATAGAAGGAATCAAAAATAAATAAAAATTTCTTCTTCTTTTGTATATCTAAAATATATATATATATATATATATATATATATATATATATATATTCGTAAATTACTTTTACATATATGTAATACCTTTATTTGACCTCGCTACTCTTATATACATAATAATAATAAAAAAAAGTGTCACAAAGATTATGAACTCTGAGAATATGATAGGGAGGCCCTAAGGGAGGACTTGAGAATAGGAAGGGTAGTGGTTGGAGGCCCCAAAAGACCCAGGCTCGCTACCTGTTGTCGGGGATCCCACTGTACAATGGTCAGTGAGCTACTGGGTTTATATTTGAGCATGAGTCTCAATAATCCCGTGGGTGAATTTTCCATGCTAGTAGTGTCAACTCCTGACTACCCCAGTACTGATTTGAGAAATGATTTGGGCCCGCATGCATAAACATTTTAGAAAATACATTAGAATCATGCATCATTAACATCAGTTATTTGGAATTTGATTGACTTGTGAATATTTATGATGTTTGATTTTAAGATTATGTATGAACTGTTGCTCATCCTCTTGTCTTTCTGTTTTCTTTATTTCCTTTGTTCTTACAGTACTCGTGGGACTTGATCAGTCATTGTTTAAAGAGAGGGGAGGTGACACAAATTCCACACCCGATGAATATGACACTCATACTCATTAGCTGGGAGCCACAATAATGACAATATGTATCGGGATAAACATATCCAAACTTTTATAGGCAGCCTTTTGTAGTACATAAACCTACATGGTACTGGGTAGTAATCACTGTTTTGTGTATACTGCTCTGTAGAAAGTTATTGTCAATGTTGTCGTTAATATTTTGAAAGATTGTACTAGTATTTTATTTATATGTAATTATGAAAGGTTATTTTTAGTACTTTCTAAAATGATGAAATGCGAGGAATAAGTTATAAAAAATTTACATGCTAAAGTTTATTTTTACAATTAATGTACTGGTTTAATATATTAATATATATTATGTATGAGAGAAAGATTATAATTGGTTTTATAAAAAAAAATCCTGCTAAAAATTATTAATTCTTCTCATAGAAGATTTATAAAGTAAGGTGTTACATTAATAATTGTGTAATATTTTTAATAGAAAAAAGAAATGTATATGGTATTTATAGTCCTGACAACAACAAATATTATGAATAAAATTTTTAAGAAAAATATCATTAATTTAAATTAATAAAATTATTAAATTTAAACTATTATTAAATAATAGAATATATATATATATATATATATATATATATATATATATATATATATATTAATAACACGATAGTGTAAACATAGTAAGATATTTTAACTATTTGATTAAAGAAAAAAAGTGAAAATTAGTGTTTCTTTTTCTCTCTATACTTATCTGTGTTAACCATATAACTAGCGTTTCTTCTGAGCCAGGATCAAATTCTTCTTTTGAGTACGATTGGGCCCTGCAGTGGTAGAAGCTGGTGAACCGGGCGTACTACTTCCCATCCTCTCCCAGCAAGAGCGCATCCTAACGCTATAGGCTTTCGCGCTATGAGTCTGTTTGATCCATTAGAGTCTTCAATGACATCTATGCTTCATACATTAATATTATTTAACTTGTGTGTCTCTAATATTATGTGTGCTTTGAAACATCATTGTTACTAAATTTACTTATTTGTCATCATACATTAAATTTAGAAACATGCTCAAAACATTACTCAATCTGCACAATTGTCATAAAATACTAAAATTGAGATGATGATACATTAAATTTATAAACATGTGCTAAGAACATCATTATCACTCAATTTGCATAACTGTATATTAAAGTTGAGATGCATGTTTGACACGTCACTATCATTCTAATCACATGTCTATTTAAAGATATCGAACTTGAGATGCTTACATGTGTGGTACATCACTTTCACTCGATTTACGTATATGTTATAATGCATCTAGCCTAACAGGTGTGGTTGATACATTACTGTTACTCTAAAGACATGTTTAACACATTGATCACCATTATTAGATTCTCAAATCTATTATGAGTTTAATGAAAATATATAAAATTTAAGAAAAATCATCTAAATAGGTTACTTCCTTTTATATGTAGATTTTATTAAAGTTATTTTTCTTTTCAACCTTGATTGTTTTGTGTAATAAATAAGAAAGTCAATTTAAGAATTTATAATCTCTATGTAAAAATTTGAAAAACAATAAATACAAATGAAAATAATTATTATTTTATTCATTAAAAATTTGCACACACATCACATGAAGGACACTCAATTTAACAAATTTTTAATAATTTTGACATTATATCTTTAACTTTTTGTTTTGTTATGGGAGAATACAAGAGAAAGTCAAGGAGCTTATTTGCATGGATGAAATTGGTTTGATCCAAGAATTTGCACAGAAATAAAAAGATGTAATGATGTGACTTGATAAAATATCTAAAATACCCTTTTATATTATTCAAACAAATATCCTTGTAGAAATAATGAATTATAATTGTGATTGAATATTACAAAATAAAATAAATTACGCTAATATTTTTCTTTGAAAGATTTACTAATACACTAATACACAAATATAATGATAGTAACCATTTTATAATATTAATAATAACTAAAATATAATCACTTAATATTTTTTAGTATATAAATAAAACTAGTGATATACACAAAATTATCTATCTTCATATTAATTAATTATAATAATAAATTATCATACTTAATTTCAAATAAATAATATATTTAATTACTATTATCCATTTATAAATTAATTCTAATAACATTTTCTCCAGAAACAGAAAGTGCGAACTTTGGTAGGCACAAGAGCCTCGATGATATTGTGACCAAGGCCAAGTTGATCGCGTTTGGAGTTTCCCACACAAAACTGTCATCCCCAGCAACAATGAAAACACCATCGGAAGCAAAAACACCACACACCTTCACATTCTTCAACCCCTTCACTCAATCTGGCTCATGCCATGATTCTCTAAAGGATAGGCCATGCCCGAGCTGGGCCTCGTTGTTTCGGCCCTAGGCCCAAAGATGGACATGGGAAGTGAGGGTGAGGGAGTGGTAGTGTTCGGCATGGATGCTAACTATGTTGGAAGAAAGAGTAGAAAGAGGAGTGAGTTCGTATGCATGGAATTCCACACCCACCGGGGATGCAACGGCCCCTTGGCTACCATCACCCAAACACATCACCATGCTCATCCATTTCAACTGAACCCCACTAATCGCTTTCTCTTTCACCTTCCTCAACACTTCCACTAATCGCCACATTTGCACTTGAGTTAAAATTAAGTATGGGTGATTCACACCACACAGGGGTTGGAAATTAGTTTCGATTTGAAATAGGCTGCAGCTTGCTACATAAATTAGGGTTTATTTATTTGTTCAAATTTTTTAAAATAAATTAGGGTTCATGCTTATGTTAATATAATAAAAAAATTTCTAAATTCATAATTAAGATTTAAAAAAAATTATGATATAAGATAAAAATCATAAATCTAATAATCATACACTAATATCACATTTAAATTGATTTTTTGTTTTTTTACATTCCTCGTTTATTCTAAAACTACTCTATAAGATTTATATTCATAATTCTCGCTTAATAATATAAATCATAATAAGGAGGTTAATATTACTCCATGAAAGAAATTCAATAAGAATGCATTATTCAATATTTTTGTTCTCCAACCTCTTTATTTCAATCTATATCTTTGTCTTTCTTTTTCTTATTACAATTTTCTCTTATGGTTGTGAGAAGAAAAACCTAATCCTTTTTATTAATCAATGTTTATTAAATTGATTATCATAAATTTTTATTTTATTTTATCTTTATTTTATTCTGACTTCCCATAATAATCTATATATTTTATTAAATTACATTTGGATCCATCTTTATATTTCACATTAACCATATAATATAATTAATTAAATTAATTATAACAACACAAACATATTATTATAATCTGATTCATAAATTGTATATCATTGATATGAACTTAATCATCAATTTATTTATTTATTTTATATATTTTATATATAACTTTGGGATTCCGCTCATTAATATTAACTTAATCACGAGAATATCCGTATGTGAACCTTTTTTATTGTGATACCTCGTTTATAATTTGATCATGAAAATTAAAAAATTGTAATAAGTTAGTTTGAGAATTCTGAAATTTCTTAATTTTTAGGTAACAACGTATCTTAATTCTAAAAACAGTTTACCATAAAATTTATGATATATTCTATTATAAAAAATATGTTAATATTAGACAAAATTTGATATATATTTAGTTTTCATTATATATTTTACATTATACGAGGTACAATTTCTAAATACAAATAAATAACTTTAATATGTAATCTCTTTCTTGTTTTTAATAATAATAAAAAAATCGTGTATATTATATTTATAATCATGAAAAAAAGAATAACACCAAATTTATTAACTTAATTACGATAATATATCACAATTAAATTATTATATATTCATAATATTTTATTCTTTTAACTAATTAGGACATGTATTAAACTACATTTTATTACTTTAAATTAACTCATTCCATTAAAAAATTAATTAGATAATGAATAGAATAATATAACCTTAATATATATAAAAAATATTGATATAAATATTTAATAAAAATCATTTTTATCTATTCTATTTCTTTATCTATGCGCTGCTTACCCGTAGCACATCAAAAATAATATTACCGAATTTGTAATGTCATTTTCTTTTTAAGTTTTTAATTAAGAATCCGATCAGCTATGGCATGATTTATAGTGTACAAAAATTTAACTTATGTCATATTAAATATTTTACGAAGTTATATGGAATTCATTTTAATTTGTTTTACTATAAAATTTGATAATATTTTTACATATGTAGCATAGAATAATAAAATGAGATTGATAGACTAAAGATTACTTAAAAACCTTCACCTTTTTCTTAGAAACATTCACTTAGACATGTATAAATAAATAAACGATAGATAAAATGAAAATGGATGTATCTAATTTAAGAGAAGTAAAAAAAAAAAAAGGGGGATCTCTCTCTCTCTATATATATATATTTTCCTCTTCTCTTAGTTCACATGTAATAAGAAAGTGTTATTCATTTCTCACTTTTTTTTCTAAATTATAATTATCTTTCGTAAAATAAAGTTTTGAATGAATTTAACATTCATCTATTCAATTTTCAGCTTGAACATGAACCCATCACTTGACATAGTACATTACTTAAAAAAAAACAATAAAAAAAAGATCAATTGAGAATTTCAAATAGAATCTTTAGTACTTAGATTTATTTTTCTATAAAAATTAATCGACATAGGTAAAATATTAAATATAAACATTTTTTATTGGTCATTTACTTTTTTATTCTAATATATATCCCCATTTAGCTATTATTATTATTTTCATTATTTATCTGCACACAATTTGAACACACAAACAAAAACTCAAACATTCACCTACCCCATCTCGTACAAAATCTCATGCCACATTAAACCATAACAACAAGCGAACCATGTCTGAACCAAAGTTACCAGCACCTGACCCAACCCTTCATCCTTCTTCCATGGCTCGTGAACACCGCAAGGGTAACTGGACCCTCCAAGAAACCCTCATCCTCATCACAGCCAAGAAACTGGACGAGGAACGCAGGCTCAAAGCAACTTCTTCTTCCTCCTCTCCCTCTTCTTCCAACAGAAACAGTGGTGAGTTAAGGTGGAAATGGGTGGAGAACTATTGCTGGAGCCACGGGTGCTTGAGGAGCCAGAACCAGTGCAACGACAAATGGGACAATCTCTTACGTGATTACAAGAAGGTTCGAGAATACGAGGCCACCAAATCATCATCATCATCATCGCATGTTTCACACAACAACAACGAGTTTGAATTTCAATCTTATTGGACAATGGAAAAACACCAACGCAAGGAGCGGAAACTACCCTCCAACATGCTTCTCCAAGTATACCAAGCTGTCACACAAGTGTTGCAGAAGAAATCACACACTCCACAATATCATCATCAACAACATGTTCTAAATGTTGTTCATCCACCACCACGCCAACAACACGTGCCATTGCTAACTTCAACCTCACAGTCACTGTCACAGACAACCCCGGTGGCTTCTCATCCGCCACTGTTATCGCTTCCGCCACCGCCTCTTCCTCCACCGCCACCTGACTCCACTACTCCGGCTGTTTCAGGTAATTTATGTATCCCCTTGATAATCTCACTTTTTTTTATTATTTAAAATAATTTATCTACATTCTCATTCTTTATTTTTATTTTTGTTATGGAGTGGGTAATTCAGTATAGAACTGTTAGATTTTAAAAAAAATACAAACAAACCATGGTTATCTTGAGTTTATTCTTAGAGTAACTTTATTTTATCTTTTATTTTTTTAGATATTCACTTTTTCTTACATTCTTTTTAGTTAAAAGATTTAATTGAACTCTTAGTGGTAACAGTAAAGTAAAAGAAATAATAACAATATATTCTTTATTAATTATTGAAGTTTTAATAAAATCTATTAATTGATAAATATTACTTGTAATTTAATAATTTTAATAAATTTTAACTAGTAAAAGAATATATTAAATTTAGTTAGTTAGAAAAATTATTATAAATACTCTCGAAGTAAATCAAAACCAACAATACATACTCCCAAGTTAACTATTTTTAAATTTTTAATTAATGAATTTTATCTTTTTACTTAATTTAGAAGAATCATATGATTATTTTTAGTCTTTATTTTGATACTTTGTATCACTTGATTGAGTGTTTTTCTTTTGTTTTATTTTCATTTGACGACACTTTATTTGATAATTTTATTTTTCTTGATTAAACTTTTTGATGTATGATGTTTTGTTTGGATCTTGGTCAAACTTGTACTGTCTGTAAACCCTGCCACATTTAATGGGACCCCGTAATTCTTTTTGGTAAAGTACAGTCAGTATGTTTTTTTTTTTTTGAGGGTACATGTATGATGGGGCCAAATGCCCCATGGTGAAACAAAAACCTAACAACAGGTACCAACACAGTTTAAAACTGTGCATGATTCTTTTGAATTTGACCATTTTTCTTCTCCTCTTCATTTAACCTACAAAAATTTTCTTTCACTTACTAAGAATTACATTTATGTTTTAAAAAAATACAAGTTTAAAATTAGTCTTGTAAAAACTTCATTGGATATAATTACTTTGACTCTTAAGAGACATGTCTTATTTCTTACGAGTTGCAAAACTTTATTTATCTATTTTTAAATACCTAAATATTTAGATATAGAGAGCATAAATAATGGGTCTCTCACCTGTACAAAAGTAGCATCATGGAGACCAGTGGGTGATAGGGATATGGTGCCATATCATCATTGTCATAGATTTTGTGGGTTCTCCAAGAAAATGGTGGATATTTTACCTCTTGAATCCGCTGAGGGTATAATGATTAATCCAATCCCTAATTTTTAATAATACCAAAAGTTCAAATTAATTTCCGCATGATAATTTAAATCATGCAAATTATATACTCCATCACTTTGCCTTTTTCCTATATATATATTTGGCTGTAATTTTTCTAGTTAATTATTTAATGTTAAATTTAGGATATATTATAAAAAAAAAATCAGAAACTGAGAATATTAGATTAGGATAATATTTATTTAACATTATTATGAATTTAATTAATAATATTATTATATATTGTAAGAATGATGTAATATACAGTAGTATATATATCAAGTGTTGATAGAAAAAAAGAAACTATATAATACATATTTATAAGAATGTAAGAGTTGACAAAAAGAAAAATTCATTTTTGAATAAAATGACAAACTAGATACAGTAATACTTGAAACGTTGTTTAAAGGATTAATTTATCACTCCAACAAATTATATATGATATTAACTCATGTTTATAGATAGGTTAGATTTATTTAATTTTACGTGGATTCAAAGTATAATAATTATATATAGATGTGATGGTGTTGTAGAAGGATCAGAATCTAGTGGCACAGAGTACAACGAAGAGGACTGTATCTCGGAATCGAAACGCAGGAAATTTGAGCAGAAACTTGGTTCAAGCATAATGCGCAGTGCATCGGAGTTGGCACGAGCTCTTGAGAGCTGCGAGGAGAAGAAGGAGGAGAGGCACCGAAAGATGATGGAGCTTCATCAGCGACGCCTTCACATGGAAGAAACACGAAACCAAGTGAACCAGCAAGGAATCACCAACCTTGTTTCTGCAGTATCCAATCTCACTGGTTCCATTCAATCACTCGTCACTTCCATCAACAAAGATAATTGTGGTGGTGGGAACGGTGATGATGCATCTTCTTCTTAATATTGAATGAGGAAGATAAATAATTTATTTATATATTATTGCATGTTTTACTAGTTAATGATTAGTTTATGGTGTATGCAACATTTTTTTTTTCAGTGTATGAAAATCAATCAAAGTGATTAATTTTGTTTGTCTAGATTTCATGATTAGAGATTACAATTTAAAAAAAAAACTTATATAAAAAAACGAAAAATAAAACTTATATGATATAAAAGAAAAAAATCATAATAAATTAAAATAAGAGTTATAAGTATTAATAAAACATATTTAATGTAATAAATTTAGTGAAAATAAAACTTATTTTATTAATAAAATAAAATAAAAAGTGTGTTAAGTAAATTAGTATATATTTACATTTTATTTTTTAGATACAATTGATTTTGTTATCTTTATATATAAATTTATTTTAGAAATCTCTTACGAAAATCTTTTATAACCTCTTTATACATCGTCAAAAAATAATATTAGTATAATATGTCAACACATGTCTTTAACGTCTCTACATTCTCATATTATTTTTTTAAATAGTCTTATTCTTATTTTTATTTTATATAAATTATATATTTTTATCCATTTTATATACGTTCTTTTTTTCACTATTTTCATATTTTTTAAATGTATAAATAATTTTTTAATTTTATTTATTTATTTTTCTCAATTATCTTAAATTCTTACTCTGCTTGTTATATATAATCTTTTTTTCTCTTTTCAATGATGAAAAAAGAATTCTTCGTCAAATATATATTAACACATGGGCATATAAATATTAAAATAAAGATTGTTTTGAAAATTATAAAAAATAAAAATATTTTTTGAAAATTTGTATGAATAAAGAATTAAAGCTTAAAATTAAACAAGATAATCTGATATATAAACTAACAACATTATTTGCTAGAATACGCATTTAAAAACTACTGTAACAAATTTGAGTTGAATAATGTTTAGAAAATTTGAGCAAAAACAAATTCCTGGTTTAATGTAGTATATTGGTTTTAGGAGAAAAAACAAAACAGAAAGTTAAAACGACACAGCAAAACGGTGAGCTTTGTGTTTTCAGTTTTATCAATAAGAGCGCAATTATCTTTCAAACTTGGTTCATGTCTCTTCCTTGAAACTCATTGACGTGCTTCCCTCATCCTTCAATTTTCGCACTTTACAAATCCAACCCAATACCTTTTTCAGTTCATTCTCTCTCTCAACTCTTTCTGTGATCCACGCAGCTTCGATTTCCTTCCCATTTCATTCAGGTCCTTCTTATCTATTTGCATTTTCATGTTTTGTTTGCTTGTTTTCTTCAAACTATACAAGTAGTAGGAGAAGGGTTATGAATAATGCTTCATTTGAGTTATAATGGGTATTGCTTCTTTTTCTTTAAGCGTTGAACAGTTTTTGCTTTTTAAACCAACACCTTAGTTTGTTGTAACTGTCTATGCTTTGGTTGGATGTTAATTTGTGTTTGAGAGGGAGTTTTGTGCAATGTATATTGGCTGGAACTGGAGAAATTATTGTTACCTGGGAAGTCTCGGACCTCTTTTAACCATGTTGAAAGTTTAAAACTTTAAGCCGGGACTTGTTGGTGTTTTTGCTTCTAAATGTTGAGTTACATTGTCATCTAATCACAGATTAACTTGACTTGTAATTTTTTTTACTTTTATAGTAATTACCTTAAAAGTCATGCCTATATTTGATTTCTGTATAGATTTTTCACCCTTATAATAATAGAAATTAAACTCTTAAATGTTTGTAAGTTAATAACAAGAATTGGTAATCTGATATTGAATAAAGTGAGTGATTTTTTTGGTATTGTTGTTAATTTTCTTTTGGTTGATTTGTTTTTCAATTGGAAGGTTTGATTTTGAATTGCTGACTTGAAATTGACTGATTCTTGAAACTGATGATTAGGTTAAATGGGGAGGATCAAACCTCAAGCTCTGCTACAGCAAAGCAAAAAGAAGAAGGGGCCTTCTCGCATAAGGGCCACCACCGTTCTCTTCTGTACATTGATTCTTGTCATGCTTATGTATTTCCTGTTTTATAGACATTGGTCCAACAGGTTAGTAAAAGGAAGAAGGGGCCTTCTCGCACAAGTGCCACCACTATTATATTCAATATGTTGATTCTTGTCATGCTTATGTATTCCACTATTTTATTGATATAGGAGAAGGCAGATTTATAGTGCGACAAATGATACACGATACTCTACGAAAAATGACTAACATAATTATACAAATGTGTACTTGTTCAAATTTAGCTCTATCTTGTGTGAGATTAGTCTGTACTTCTTCAGCATTATTGTGACAATTTTTGGGATACTATTACTATTGGCCATCTGTTATTGTGTAATGTGTAGTGAATGAATTCAGCCTTATGCTTGCTGATGACACTTCAGTTTATGGCTTGAGTGTTCTGTCAATATCTGTTTGTCACGATGTACAAAAGCTTATCCGTTATTCTCTTACATTTGTTGAGGATTTCAAACTTATTAAAAAATGAATTTAAATGGTTCAACCATTTGTAATATGGTTTCTGAGAAGGTGATTATAAAGAAATGGAGATTAACATTATACAGTACACGTTTCATTTTCTCATACAAAATGAACTTCAAAATAGCAATTCTGTTCTCTAATAATTCATTTTATTACATGCTGCATTCAGGACAAGATTTCAACCACAGAGCTACATATCGGTCTCTGAGGTACGGACTTAATATTACATTGTAAAGGGTTTCGATATCATTTTATCCATTTTGCATTATTAGTTGTCTGGTATCTTGTAACGTTCTTTCCTTATTTTTATCATCGAAACATGTCTATTATGTGTGTGCTTTTCTTTTTTCTTTGAGATAAGGATTCTGGAAAGTCAAATTTTTTCCTCCTCATTAATTAATACTGAATACTCCTTAGATCCTTGATTAATCTAATGATTTGTAGTAACTAATTTTTCTGCAGGATGAAAATACATTTGTGGAATCCAAAAAATCTGATCTACCTGGATATGCTGTAAGTCTTCATTTACCATGCTGCTACTGTGCTCGTCGGTTCAAATTATTTTATGAAATTTTAACTTACAAAATGGCTACTCATTGCTTCCTTATCATAGGTTGTAATTACCTCTAAAGGTTCTATTATAGTCGAACTTTATAAGGAAAGTGCCCCTGAAGTTGTTGACGAATTCATAGATTTATGGTGAGGTTTTTCCCTAATCCAGTCTACTTCTCCAAAAATTAAAATGATGGCTAATGAATGTTTTAGGGCTTGCTTGATACAAACTCATTTTTCTGTGTCATTCATTCATTTTTTCTTGGTTGTGATTTGAACTGGAGCATTAGAGGAAGAATTTCATGCTTTAAGGTAATCAGATTATCTGAAATCCAAAATAGTTAAGCCCAAGAGACCAAATTGGTCTAATTTTTTTTTTTTGTTAAACTTGTTTAGTCTGTAGTTTAAAAAGGCTTAAGTTAAGTTGATCCGTACACTTATGAATGGTTTATAAAATAATAATTATATTTAAACAAAATTTAAAACAATATTATTTTCTTAATATCTACATGTTATTATATATATATATATATATATATATATCAAATTATTATTTAAAATTAATTTTATTAATATAACTTAAATTAAAAAAAAAGTTATTTAATATATTTATTTTTTAAAACAGACCAAAATTATTTTTAAATGGCCCGTCGAGTCACACTGGATCGGTCCATTTCACAGATCATACCAAATATACCTGTTCAGTTCTGAAGAACATGCTGAAGTTTGCTAGAATTCGACGATTTGTTTGTGCATGAGACCTTTCCCTCTGGTTTTTGTTAATATCACTATCTCATTACTTTAGTCTCTAGCTCCTCTTGAACAGAGGAGATTATTGTTTAGTTAAATCAAACTCAGACAGGCCTTTTTATTTGATACAACGGGATAACATCAAGGTTTAAGATTGATTTTGAAGTTGTGCTACTCAGTGGAAACCAGCTCGAAATCTATAGGTTCATTTAGTTAGATGATGGAATTGGAGATGCCAACTCTAGATGGTTACCAAGATAAACAAAAAAGTAGATAAAGTTTCCTGTGAATGGGAGTCTTATTGGAGGAGACATCGGTGTCGCAGAACTGTTGGGGCATATGTGAATTCCTCTTTCCTCACTTGAGTGTCTAAGAAGGATAGATGTTTCAAGGTAGGGATTATTAGTAAGGTTCTTTCTAAGAGGTCGAGTGATGCTTTTTCAAATATTTAATGAAGTGTGAGAGACTATGTGGGAACTGGGAAGTAGTACAAAGCCATGTAACAGGTTTGGAAATAGAGTTTAATGCTATAACCTTGAGCATTGTTAATTTGCTATATTGCTGGATATATAGCATAACATGTGCAACCTGATATGAATATTCTCTATGTGCTGAAGAGAGTAAAGCCTACAGCTATACGGGTATATATTAACTTATATTGGGATCGGTTAGTGTTAGTAGTTTGTTTATTTCAAAGTCGTGTGCTGTATGAAATTCCTTTGAATATATCCTATTCATGCTTCCAATCCAACCCAACTTCAATGTTTTGTTTTCCAGTCAAAAAGGGCACTTCAAGGGGATGCTTTTTCACCAAGTAATTAAGCACTATGTCATTCAGGCAGGTCACAACAAAGGGCCTGGAGCTACTGAAGATTGGAACTTGTTAGGAAAGAAATATGCGAGGTAGTTTTTTGTTCTTTTGTTTTTTTTGCAATTTGATGTTTATCATATCATTAGACTACCGATAATCTACCCGTGAGTAGCATATTTTTTTCTAACAACTTAATATTGTGATGATTAACTAGTATGAGACATGAAGCATTCATGCTTGGAACTTCAAATGGTAATTACTTCAACAAAGGTTTTGATCTTTTCATCACAACTGCACCGATACCGGATCTAAGTGAAAAGCTTATTGTGTTTGGCCGAGTCATCAAGGGAGAGGATATTGTTCAGGTGGTTGAATTTGCTTTATTCTCATTATTATGTCTGATATTGCATGCTGAGCTTTTGTTTTTCCTTTTGTATTGTTGCTGATTATGTCCTTTCCTACTCGTATTGGTTAGAGTTTTGCATATCTTTTCACATAGAAATTAGTGCATATAATTTTAAATGATTTATTTCTGTTTAATTATTAGTTGATTCATCAATTTGCATGTATTTATCAATAATATTTGAAACTAAAGTAATGTATAAGACATAATGGTTATAGAAGTCACATAGCATATTAATCTTCACATATGGATAAATTGTTTAGAGACAGTAACATCAGAATGGGATGAAAACAGGGAAAATCATGTCAATATAACTTAGTTTATTTATGATTTTTGTTGTTTTGATTTGAATACACAGGGACAGACTCTTTATCCAAAATCCACTCTGGATTTCAGGATTTCAGTTAATATTGATAGTTTCACAATCCTATGGCAGGAAATTGAAGAAGTGGATACAGATGAACATTACCAACCAAAAATTTCTATTGGGATACTTGATGTGGCTCTTAAACAGATGGTGTGAAGGCTCTATGCCTGAATCAAAAGCGTAAATATTTCTCATACTTTGCTGATTACATGTTTGGTAAAATGCACTCTGCGCAGATCTCAAGGATTTCACTTTAGGTTTGTCAATGAAACGTTTGATCTTTGATGCAGTTTTAGCAACATGTTTCAGTTGCTTATTCAAGGACTACGAAATCTTTTTTTTTTTTCCCCTTTCTGTCATATTGTTTGGTCTTACTTTGGTGTGGCAGGATGTAAGAAGTTCCGTTGCCACCTGCCAGTTTGCTGATATCACCTCTTATATTTATTTTGGCATTAAACTTCATTTGTATCCTCAAAAGAGGCACATTAAGATAAAAAAGAATTTTGGCCTGCCCATGCAGTTCATGTATAGTGTTTCAATTAATGACCATTTTAGGATCGAGTCAGAAATATTGGCTTGGTAATCTATTTTGTAATGATGCTTAGTTCATATTTTTATTTAGTTATAATAGCAATAAGTGCACATGCTAGTGATGCTTTTTTCTTGTATTTTATGCCATTTAAAAGTCTCCTATTTCTTAATGAGCTTATTCATGTACGTAGTAATAGTTGAAAAGTCTTTGAAAAAACCTCCAAAAAACTTGTTATCTACAAGACACCTAAAACAAAACCAAGATAGAATGTATGTGTTATTTTCCATTCGTCTCTCTTTCAAATCTATGAATAATAACATTATTATAATTATTTTATTTATGACTCTACAATTAATTAACATTTATCATGGTTCTTAGTGACAAGAACCAGAACATACATGAATTTTCAAACTTTCTTACAAAGCTTTTTTCTCATAAGCTCTTCGACTTGACATTGAATATCTCAAATTTCTTCTGAACTAATTCCATAAATTGGTCTTTAGGAATAAAATCCCAAGTATAAAATTAATCCTATATTCATTACCTCTCAAAAGGAGAACCATAAATTACATAAATCAATATCAGATTCCTCCAAACATTACATAACATCCACACACCAATATCTCATTAAAACCTTCCATACAAGTGTACCCTATGTAAAATATTCACAATATATTCTTCCAAAAACTTGTAAACAAAAAGAAAAATATTTAGCCTTTTTCCTTGAAATATTTTTTCCAAAACAGCTATATTGTAATATTAAATCTCGATAATATGAAAATTAAGTATTAAATACGTAAATGAATTATATAAAAAATATTATGTTATTTTATAAGATTTATATTGAAAATTTTCTATCATTACACTTATATCTATTTTCTTTTCATAATTACAATTATCTCCTAGGATTCATGATAATGTATATAATGTTTTTGAAACTTAAAAAGAATATATATTAATGTAAAAAGAGATATTTTGAGATTTTTTTATTTTCTCAAAAAAAAAAAATTTACATCATCTCACAAGATGATCAAATTATTCATTAAAAAAAAAAAAAAACGACTAAATAATAGTCCAAAGAATTGGAAAACCACCCTACAATCCCCGCGCTTCGTTCGCCCCTTTGGCGCACCGCGTTTTTTCTCCCGTTCAATTCCTTCACTCCGATTCTCCCTTTCTTCCCTTTTTCTCACACTTCACTACGTTTTCTCACACTTCACTTTCAACTATCTCTCCAACTACCACTAGGGCACACTCACGCACTCAATGAAGCCCGAGTTGTACGAAATCTCCGACGATGAATGGGAGAACCACTCCTTCAAACCCTCCCGCGTCCTTAAACGACCTCGCACTTCGTCTCCTCCATCTCCGCCACCCATCGAATCCTTCGCCTACACCTCTAAGGTCGACGTTTCAAGCGAAAACGACAGCGATTGCGTCGAAATCGCGCCGAACGACGCCAATTTCCTCGAAGACCTCGAGGACGCCGACGTTGGCGACTCCGCCGCTGGCTACGCGGTGGCCTCGCGCGGCAGGAGGTTCATCATCGATGACGACGACGAAGACGCCGAGGAAAACGGCGGAAGAGACAGACGCGTGGCGGAATTGTACCAGGTGGCGTCGAGCGAGGTGGAAGAAGAAGGTGAAGAGTTGAACGAAAACGATGTCGTTGGTAGGGCTTTGCATAAGTGCGCGCGAATCGCGGCGGAGTTGAAGGGCGAACTTTACGGCTCGTCCGGGACCGCGTGCGAGAGGTATTCGGAAGTGGAGTCTTCGTCAGTGAGGATCGTGACTCAGGTTAAACGGCGGTTTGTTGTGTTTTTTATTTTGTTTAGGTTGAAGCTTGAAATTTTATGTTCGTTTGTGTTGAAGTGCATGCCGTTAATGTTTGTAGGAGGATGTGGATGATGCGTGCGCGTCTGAGGATTCGGATTTTCAACCATTGCTTAAGCCGTATCAGTTGGTTGGTGTGAACTTTTTGCTTCTACTGTATCGGAAGGGGATTGGAGGAGGTAAATGTTAGGGTTTTTGACGAATTTTTTATGTGGTAGGTTTAGATCACGTGCAGTTGATGTATGTGTTTAGCTTAATTGGTTTCCTGTTTTGAATTTGAATATTTCTGGTTGTAATTATGCAATAAGTTTGTGCATTAATGATTGGGGTGTACTTTGTGCTGTGCAAAGTTGAATTTGTGTGTTAGTGTTGCTTGTAACTGTGCTATGGACAATATAGGTGTTTTACTTGTGCAAAATGGAAGAGTGGATTAATTGATGTCTCTTTCATTGTGGATTTCTCAATATCGTTACACTTTTGTGTTGTGGTCTGGTGTTCTTTACTGTGGAATGGCGTATTTGCTTTGTGTTTGGTGTTTGCAGCTCCTTATTTTGTGCTTATGGAAACGTTATAATGTAGTGGCATTATGATTTGTGTTTACTGTCTGGCCTAGCTTTTTAGAGTTTAGTTGCTTTTCTTTTTCTGAATTTTGAATATTTCTGGTTGTAATCATGCAATAATAAGTTTATTCATTTGGCATGATCGTGTGATTGATACTTGATTTCATGTGTCACAGCCATATTGGCAGATGAAATGGGTCTTGGCAAAACAGTTCAGGTATGTTATCCTGCTTTTTATATTTTTAACATGCTTCTAATTTTTTAATCCTTGACTTTTTCAATTAAGGTATGGCCTATGTTATTGTCTTCCAGGCCATCACGTATTTAACTTTGTTGAAACGCTTGCACAATGATTCTGGTCCACATCTTATTGTATGTCCTGCTTCTGTTTTGGAAAACTGGGAAAGGGAACTTAAAAGGTGGTGTCCGTCCGTTTCTGTTCTTCAATATCATGGGGCTCGACGTGCAGCATACTGCAAGGAGTTGAACTCCCTGTCCAAGGCTGGATTGCCTCCTCCATTTAATGTTCTTCTTGTGTGTTATTCACTTTTTGAACGGCACAGGTTCATTCCTATATTCTTAAGTACCATTTATATATATTGTCTTCAATGTTAATTAAATTTTTATAATTTATATTTATGCTAGTGCACAGCAGAAGGATGATCGCAAAATCCTGAAGCGGTGGAGATGGAGCTGTGTGTTGATGGATGAGGCACATGCTTTGAAGGACAAAAATAGCTTTAGGTGGAAAAATCTGATGTCTGTTGCACGAAATGCAAACCAACGGTTGATGTTGACAGGGACACCACTTCAGAATGATCTGCATGTATGTATTTCATATAATCTATAGTTTAAGTGAATGTCTTTGTTGCATTGTAGCTGTTTTTGTTGTTGCTGAACCAAACAAAACTATTAGTTTTGTATATATTAGTGGGATAATTTCTTCTCTTAAAAAACATTCATATGTAGTGGCTGGACACTATTACAAAGGTAATTTTAGAACATATTCGGGAACTTTGGTCATTGCTGAAGCATGGGTAAATCTCCTGATATCCGATTTTACATCCTTTATAGGAATAATAAAACATAGTTACAATCAGGGCAGAGAAAAGGAAAATACCAACTCCTTGTTATTCTGTGCCAATAATTTACTTAAATCTTGAACAAAATCTCTATGAATTGTCTTGACCTGTTGATTTTGCTGGCATTAATATAAATGTAGTTGCTGAAGCAAGCTTTGTTATGAATTTGTTGCAGGAGTTATGGTCGTTGTTGGAGTTTATGATGCCTGATATTTTTGCTTCGGAAGATGTTGACCTAAAAAAGTTACTAAATGCAGAAGATAGAGATTTAATTGGTCGTATGAAGTCCATCTTAGGGCCATTTATTTTGCGGCGACTGAAATCTGATGTTATGCAACAACTTGTTCCAAAAATACAGCAGGTATGTCTGTCATTTTTGGTGCAAATTTCACTGTTTTGTTATATTCTTTATCTCATGTCCTTGTTTCTATTTGTCAATTTTTGTTACTGTAGGTTGAATATGTAATAATGGAAAGGCAGCAGGAGTCTGCTTACAAGGAAGCCATTGAAGAGTATCGTGCTGTTTCACAAGCTCGGATGGCAAAATGTTCTGACCTTAATTCAAAAAGTGTTCTTGAAGTTCTCCCTCGGCGACAGATAAATAACTACTTTGTTCAGTTTCGCAAGGTTCTTGATTTATGTTTTGACTTAAAAATCAAGCTATATATATACTTCTTTTTTTTTTTTTTGTATTTATGCATCTCTCTTTTATTTGGTAATATATTTCTGTATTTTTATTCTAGATTGCAAATCATCCCTTGTTAATAAGGCGAATCTACAATGACGATGATGTCATTCGCTTTGCTAGGAAGCTACATCCGATAGGTGCTTTTGGTTTTGAATGTACTTTGGACAGAGTTATAGAGGAACTTAAAAATTACAATGACTTCTCTATTCACCGGGTAAGTCTAATATGCAGAAGAATTATGCTTGGGTTCCATCAACTTGCTCTAGTAGTTTGTGTTAAACTCCTCCCCCTCCTCCCAATCTCTATGTTTTGAGTGTTTTTTATTGGGGTTCCACTTTTATGTAAACATATTTTTCAGCAAAACTTTGTGATAGTGTCACTATTGTATTGAGATGTCCTGTTGTGGCAATTGGCTGCTACACGTTGTGTTATGGAGCATTTGTGTGTAGTGGTGACATGAAGGCCAATTCAACCTTTCGCTGCTGCTGCACGAATAATAGGCAAAAACATTCATTTTGACAAGCCTTTTTCTTCATTAGCAAGCTTAAGTTTAATTTTAAAATTTCCTTTACTGCTTCAGAACCTTTTCAAAACATACAAAAGATCCATTCTTCAAGCAACCATTTTCGTGGCAGACCCATATTTTTTTTTTTTTTTCAATTTGCTTCTCTTTCCCTGATGTTCTGATCCTATGATCCACTTCATTGACCTCTCCTTGTCCTCTGTTTGCACTTATCAGGCTTGAGTTCGTTGGTATATTTAATATTAGGTTGTTTGCTTTGAAAGAAATAGTAAGCACTCTTGTTTATGCATTGACTGTTTATTTATACCTAAGAGTCTTTAATTTATTTAAGATAAGTTGTTGTACTTTTTGTAGCATTTTAGATG